TGATTTCCCCTATGCAAAACCACACCCTAAAAGGCATCCAATACCCAATGTGCTGGCTCCCTTGGGCCCCACATGGATGTTCCCGGGACTGCACTGTGAGTGGGAGTGCAACTGCACCATTATTTCACCGCCAGGGGAGCTCAGGTTCCCAAGGTGAGCTGATTTATCCACAATGGCAGAGTGTGAGTCAGTACAGGGTCACAGGTAGCACCAGGGACTCTGTGATCTAATTCAGAGAGAATTAAAACCAGAGGCTTGGGATCCACGGCTCACTGAGCCACGTGGCATTCGTGGGCTGGAGAAATCAAACATTTCAGGTTTTCTTCCTCTCTACAAAACAAGCAAGTGCTTGAGAGCCAAACTCACCTGCTTTTAAGTCCTCCCTGCTACACAGAGAGGACTATAGAAAAGAGACTTCCTTTAATGCGTTCAATTAACCTGAGGAGTCAGTAACAGCTTGAAAATTATCTAGCAGGGCCTGAGTCCTTCCAGGAGAATCAGAAAACAGTAGAACCAGGAGAGACGACAAGGATCCTGTCCTGCAACAGCCCATGGAGTGGCTGGGAGAAGGGTTACTAGAAGACCTAGCAGCTTCTGGGGTGCAGCTTCTGGGGTGGAAACAAAGCTTGGTGTGAGCCGAGAGAGCAGCCTAAAATAGAAGGCCAAATTTCACTTCTTGGGAAATATACAGAATAATAATGTTATAAGGCAGTCCCTGTACTTAATGCTCATTTTTTTAGGAGGAAAAAAACAAACCAAAGAAATTACATCTACCCCCAACTTGTTTTAAAAATGCATCACCATGCTTCAAGGAGCATGTGGTCCAGGCTTTGCAATGGTATGCACAGAGGAAGGGCTTCTGCTCATGGGGAGTTCTTAACATGAAGAATTTCATTCACTGGTTCTGCTGTAAGGAAGGAGAATGGAGGTATAAAAAGAGAAAGAAGAGCTACTGAGGGTCATAAAGAGAGGTCCTGGAATTACATCTTATAAACACACCCAGCAGCCCAGGACTATTTCCATCCCACCCAGTACAACCAGCAGGCTGGGTTTGACCTGGGCATTAAGGAGAGCATGCCTTGTCCAGGGAAAGCTGACCTGGTCCCAGCCCCTCAGACTAATGCTGTGGAATCAAGAGCAAGGACTTTGTCCAGGCTGCTTATCCTGCTGAGGAGTGAGCATCCAAGATGACATCACAGCTGATGGCCTGAGCATTACAAATTCGGGACTGGACCCGAGTCAGGCAGCACACCAGTGGCCTCCTGCTTTAAGTGTAACAGGCAGGGAGACCTGGATGGCTCAGAGAGTGCTAAAGCATGGAGGGATCTGAAGCTCAGACTTCTCTCTGCCTGCATGGTTGCAGGATAAGCTTCTGTTCTGGTACCACCCTGGGAAGACAGGTCCAAACTACATGGTGCAAGCAGGTTGCTTTTAATGGTACAGGAAAAACAATAGCTCAGGCCCAGACCGTCCTTCAGTGCACAGGAAAAATGCAAAGGGAACAAACTGATATGCCCAGGTCTCCCTTAGCAGAGCCCCAGGAACTGACCACTCACAGGCACTCCCTGCTGAAGCCACCAAGCCACCAATCTCCCTGCAGACACCTAAGGAGAGGGAGTAGGACATTGGCCCAGGCTCCAAAAGGATCCTGGGGTGTGTTCAGCAGAACATGCTTCAGAATGATCTTCAATTTAATGCGGATATATTGAAGCCAGGCTGCAGACTCTGCCAGTGGTGGTTCACATATCAGCACCTTCCAAAGGAGCCCTGTGTATCTGTGGGAAGGAAGAACCTTCTGGGGGGAAGGAGACAACAACAGCGAAGTTATTGGCTAGAACACAGCAGGTCAGGCCAACTGGGATGACAGGCACAGTATCATTCTGGATACATTACTTAGGCAGTTGCCGTGAGTCAGGCCCTGCTGGAGGTGCAGGGAAGAGATAGGATAAGGCTCTTTCCTGGCCATGGCACATGCATTTGAGAGCCTGGAGACAAAATAATATGAAAATAAACACAGTAACTCTTTGTGGTTAATGTACATAAGGAATGCCGACAGGATGGAGGATGGGGGACTGGTGGGAGTGGGGTCAGACAGTGTGGAAGATATGCATATCTAGAGGCAGGTAGGCCAGCCATGGCAAGAGCCAGGAAAGGTGTTCCAGGTGGAGAAAGCAGTGACAATGAAGGAGGAGGCAAGGGGCAAAGATGTGACCCAGCACCCACCCTACTTGTGTGAAGTCAGCAGGGAGAGGCAGGGAGCTGGACATTCCAACGTCAAGGTAAAGGCCAATGCATGCCTGGGCCATTGCCCCTCCACTAGCAGGGCCCCCAGTCCCTAGAAAGAACAACATGCTTTGCACAGGTAGTGAAGACTGTAATGTAGGAGTTGCAGTGCCCTGGGATGTCCAAGTCCTCTGCTTTCACCAAGAGAGCAGGTATTACTCTTTTTGGCTACTTGGCTGGTAAGACCAAAGAGACCTTGGTTCTACATAGGCCAGAATTAACCATATTTAACTTTATGATACTGTCCTGTCCAGCCAGCTGTGTGCTTCGAACCCCCCGGTGACCTGGCATACCCCTTTCACCAACTAGAAAATTCTAAGCAGACAGCAATGAACCACAAAGCACATTATTCAACTTAGCAGCCAGCACACACCCTGCAATCTGCATGGCTGATGCACACACATCATCCCACAAGCAGATGCCTGAAACCTGAATTCTAGAGATGTGGCACTGAGGGGCAAGGCTTGTGGTCCCCGCTGCAGGCATTTCCTGGAGGGCACTCACAGATCACAGTCACCCTCTCCAGTTGCAACATGCCAGGGTGGCTTACTGGAGGAGTGCAAACCAGAATCTGCTCAACAGATAAAGTCGAGTCATTTTGTTAACAAGAACTCAGATTAGATTACTCTGTGATTACATGGTTCTGTGGTGTGATAAATTGGTTAATAACAGGACTTCCAATGTACCCAATGTAGTTGCTTAATGGGAATTCAATAATTACAGGTGCCCGGGATTGGACATTAGTCTAGAAAATGCTAGCGCCACCCTCCATTCTAATAACTCAGAATGGCTCTCCAGGACAGTTGAAATGGCCTTTAGCCTGGAGGGCATGCTTTGAGTATTATCCAAACACCCTGGTAAAAGTGTCACCTTTACACTCAACACCACTTCTCACAGACTCCACCGAGAGACTCGTTTGCCTAGTTAAATGCCTAAATTGAGAATTCTCTAATAACCTCCTGTTACAGTTAGCTCTTCTGTGTGTGTGTGTGTGTGTAGTACATATATATGTTCAAATCATGGCATAGTTCAGGAAACTCTTTCACGAACATTTTGTCTTTCTTAGGGAGGGGCCTTAGGTCTGCTCTTTCACAGTTATCCCTCCATGAGCACATATTCTGGATTAGCAAGACTTGAGTTCGTGAGCTTTTACTCTCTGGGGAGGTGGGGGAAGCAGCTCTGCTTGGGAAGCAGGGGAATAAGTAGCCAAAAACGTGTCTGACAAATTTCTTTTTGTGATTTTTGAGTAAAATTTTAGTCTTTGACAATAAGAAAAATAGGACACCATATTTAAAACATAAAATGGTTCATTAGATGGGGCTTTGGACTTGTTTTTAAAACTCGAGATAATACAGGTTTACTGTTTTGTCTTTCCAAAATGTCAAAATTTGGCTAGGATTAATAGTTCTCTAAATCAATAGGATTTCATGTTTATAAATGGTTTATGGTTCCACTGGTTATAAAATGTTATGAGTTCACGCATTATCATCACTGCCAAGACTTTACTGAATTCTAGTGACATTTCGCCTAGCATCCAGACCAGACAAGGGGAAAAGGACACAGAATTCTTTGGTACCCAGGTCCAAACCACAGGGCTTCAGGGAGGGGAAGAGGTGAGCAGGAAGGGAAGAAAAGCTTCCTATGGGCTGGCAGAGTGGCTCAAGCAGTAAGAGCACCTGCCTAAGAAGCATGAAACCCTGAGTTCAAACCCCAATGCCACAATAACAAACTGAATAGAGAAGAAGTTTCTAACACTGGAATCACCACAGAAAAACAAATGAGCCAGGGGACCCCAACCCAAAGGCTAAAGGGACCCATTAAGAATAAGAGTGAGGGGACCCAGAGTGCATCTTTTCATGAACATGGTGAGAAGTGAGGACTCCGTGCAAGTTGACAGCATTCTTCCGAGAAATGTCCTAAGAAGCAACATATATTTAAAAAATCATCTTTAATGTCATCTTTCTATTAACGTAGACATAACCACTGGCAAATGTCCTTCCCTGTGGTACATGTTTGCACACGATGACTCCAGTGATGTAATTGCAATTTGTGTTGTTTCACCAAACACTATCCATGCTGCCTCCTGAAAAACTGTTTGATAACAACTGAGTACTGTTTATTGGTGTTGCCTTGATAAACACGCCACTCTCCTTAGCGTCACTGGGACACTATGGCTCTTAGGAGTTTTTCAGACAAGTAATACTTTGCAAGGAGAATGCCGGAAAAGGTCATTTCATTTCATGATGGTTTCAGGTGAAAAACAGAATTCTCTGATCAGTGACAAGCTGCATAGGAACAGAGCTTTCATGCATCTGGTGTATATGGGTAAGACCTCCTACCTACTCCTGCTATTAATGATCTATTTGATTCCATGATGTACCTGTAGACAAGTCTAGGATTATCACTGAGGTTCTTTGTATTTCACATTTTTCATTTCAATAGATACATTATATACTTTGACACCAACTTGAATGCTTTACCCATGGAAGCAAGTAAGTTATTTTCCAAAGAAAATCAGCCTATTTGAAATATTTCACAACAATCTACAGCCATGATATAATATTGTAAATTGCTTTAAATTAAGTCATAAAGTTATATTATAAACACAATAGGAAATGATCATTACCCAGAGAAGATGTCACCAAATTTTACTGTCCCAAAGGATTTTTTTAAAATGAGAAAGATCACAAACTAAATTCTTCCCTTTGTCTTTCTAGTGTGGAGCTGGATTTTAAGCAGCAGGAAGACAAACTCCAGCCTGTGCTGAAGAAACTGCATCCTATCGAGGAAACTCAGGTCGTACCTTCGCCTTACACTCAGGAGACTTACTCCTCAACGCCCAAGCAAAAATCCAAAACTGAGTCCAAAAAGCACGGAAGATGGAAACTCTGGTTCCTTTAAGACTCATGGTGATTGGAGTCTCAAGGCAGTCTTTAAAACCCACTGGAGTTAAGAGAATCCCAAAACGAATAGGATCAAGGGAACCGTGGTGCCGACTCACACGCTCCCAGCTTCTCGCCCTGCGTACCAAAAAGGCCTTTGTACCAACAGATAATTAACAGAGCAAGGGAGTGAATGTCACACCTTGCCAGCTGTTCTTTGCAGTCCACTGCTGTAGGATGTAAGAATCTGAAATGAAACCTATGTAATCAAGGATGATAAGTAAAAATCTTACTCCCCTCCCCTCATCTGCAAGTATTGTTACCCACCTGCAAAAGGGCGGGCTGTCACTATACACAGCTAAAACTCATAACTATTTTCAAGCCTTTATAATTATTTTTTTTTAAATAATGAGAAGAAAACGCAAGCCTTATGTTTGCAAAGGACTTCATTTTTACATTTCAGTTTTGCAAATTAAGCAGGGGGCGAGTGCAATTTTCAGCACATCAAATTCTGGAGAAAGCACAATTTTTTCAAGTGGTCGGAGACCATGAATAATCTCTAAAATGTGACTCTGTGTATATTTGCCTTCATGTGCTGTAGCGCTAAGCCAAGTGAACACATCTCAGTGTCACATTGACACCTCAAATTTAGCATCCTCTTCATCTCCAGACCTCCGACATGTTTACTGCTCATTGTCCAAATGGCCAGCAGCCAGGAATCCCCCAAAGTCATGACATGCCTTTATTCATTGCAAGATGACAGGGTCAGAGCTATTGGACACTAAGCTTTCTTAGATCTCGTTTTTAATCTTTTGGTACCCAAAGGCCAAATGATAAATTCTGGCAAGAATTTGAACACATACATAAAGATACACAATGGATAATACAGACCAATAAATCACAGGCGCCTGTGTCACAGCAGAAAGTGTTTGTGTGGCTCAATCTTTGGAGACATTGTTTGCCCTGTGAACGCAGCCAGACGTTTTATACAATCCATTATGTTTTGTTACAACTGTGCAAGATCTGACCATCTCACAGAGAAACAGCGTGTTTCCCTTAGCTGCTACCCACAGACAAACTTAATATCACCTACATTTAACCTATTAGTAAGTTGTACTAAACGACATACTTAGGAAAAGCTGTGAATCAAATGTTTTTAGGTATTTTTTAAATGCACAGAAACAGAGTTCTCTCTTGACTAACACTCAGTTCTCTTGATTACACATTGCAACATAAATCTTCATTCCTTTATTTTTTCACTAGTTTCTTTGCACCTTTGCAAGTACCTTTTTATAGAAACCAAAATCTCCTAGTGTGTTAATGACTTGTCTATCAATAGTTTGCTTTTCACAATAGGAAGTAGGGATCTTATCTTGCCTTTTTTTTTGTACGACATAAATTTTGAATAGTTTGTGAACACATCAGAAAACCTGGTCTTCGAGTTTCTGTCCAGCAGTTTCATATCTAACCACGTGCTGACATACTTGCCTCACTTATCAGATGCCAAACACAAAGTGGCTGGCCTTGGAAAAAGGATCTGGACCTGCTTTGTACACATTGGAGCTACTTCTTGCCATTCATCTTCCTCCTAACTTAAACACAATTCCATTTTAGTTCAACACATTTGGGTTCTACGAGGACCTAGTAATCAACAATCAGATCTGGACTGGGAAAAAAAACTAAAAGAATATATTACATAAACATTGGCTAGAGTTTACACAAACAATACTGCAGAGGTATGTTTAATTTAACACATACACACACCTTTTGTGGAAACATATATAACGATTCACAGCCCTGAGTACCAGTAAATAGAACTGAGAAATATTTTTTTGTGCAAGAAGAACAATGAGCAAGTTGATCCTGCACCATGAAGGAAGTGCAATTGTTTCATGTAGACTCAAAATTTAATGTGTTTCATGTTTTTATACTGTTTTTAACTAAAGTTATAAAAATGTTTGCAACAAGTTATCTTTCCTTATGTTTGAAGAATTTCAACAATCTGAGTGAATTGGAGTAAGGATGTCAGCAGCTTTCTAATTACTAGCACACATCTGCCTAAATGAACAGCCTAGTTCACCACTTGTCACCGTTTCAAACAGTCTAGACCAAAAAAAAAAAAACTTACATGATCAAATTTTCAGAGTCAAAAAGAAAATTCTAAAGACAAACTAATTTTTCCTTAAAAAATGATCCATCTCCAAAATAGAAAACTATATTTTCAAAATCATGTCATAGTTTAATTGCAACATGTCACAGACAGATGGTGATCCTTCTCTTGGAAAGATTTAAGTAAACAACTTTGATATAAAACCAAGTAAAACGTACCGTGTTCCCTCCTATGTAGATGTACACATGCCATGACGTATAGAGACTAAATTATTATACTTGTCGTTAAGTTCTTTATTAATTTTTAAATAAAAAAAATCGAAGGTAATGATTTGCGTGTTTATCAGATTTATTTCATAGCCTCGATTCTTTGGGAAAATTTTACAAAAGTGATCTAAGAAAATCATGAGAACAAAGGCTGCTGGGGTAAAAGGCACCCCACTGGGTCTTGGGGAGGTAAAGCCACTGTGCAGCCTTGACACTGCTTGTCCTGGCCCGCAGGGGGAGTCCTGCCATGCTTACCAGCACCCTGACAGGCTTGACCACCAGGAAGACAAAGTCTAAGGTCTGCAGGGCACCAGAGAGGCTCATGGCAAAAGGCACCTGAGGTCTAATTTCTATTGAGTCTCAAAGGAGACAACTAAATTCATGCAATTTTGCTGTGATAGCAGATCTTCATGGTCCAATGCAGGCAGCATCTCTATAGAGTCCACAAAGCAGTTCCCCAGCCCAGGAGAACGGCCAGCTCTTTCCTTTCTTCCCCACTCTCCCACGGTGAGTGGCAAGTGTCCCAGCTGGGTCTGAGCACCCACCTCATCAGCTGAGACCAGCCTAATGCTGCCCAATGTCCACAGATGGACTGCCAGCTGCCTCACCTGCACGGTCTGCAGAAGGACTTGCCCCTCTCCTGTCTATGAAACAAGAGTCTGCCTACAAGTACAGGGCACTGCAGTCATGGCTAAGGGCTGTGTGCAAAAGGAAGGAAGGCTTGGTCCACCAGTCTGGTACAAGGGGAACACAGTCTTCCAACACAATCTGTAATCAGATAGGAGCCCCTCCTGGGACCACCTCAGTGCTCCTCTCCTATAAAGACAGATACAAGGAAGGGCATTCTGCCATGTAGGAGAGCACTGTTACTCTACAATTGTGTGACTCAGCTCTGAGGGCTAGAAGTCCAGGAACAGTGAATTGGTTCTTGAGGTCTCGGACACTGGCTCCCTAAGTCCATCAGAGTATACATATGTAGGGAAGAAGTCTTGGTGAGGGAAATTCTTGCTGCTTAGAAAGGGCTTAAGCAACTGACAGACACATGTCCCACACAGCGTGCAAGGCTGCTGAGTTGCCTGTTGCATGGAGAGCTGAGTGTGGCAGACAACAATGTACAAAGGATGTTGTAGCCCCTTGTCCAGGATCAGCTGTCAGATCCACACCTGCAGACAGGAGCAATACCATTTTCCTTGCGGCACCACTCTATGGACAGGTCATAACCAAGACACACAATCATGGCTTGAAACTGAGAAGACACACCATCAAATAAAACAAGAAGTAGAAACAAGAATGGGTTGGGAGCTTTTCTGTTTCACTCTGCCTATAGTAGCATGGCACGTTTATAAAACCCACCAGTGGTGGCTGAGTCTTCTGGAGCACTATCATCTGCAAGTAGAATTTGACTTGATTACTAATGGTGGCAGATTCATGGGTGTACAGTCACCAAAAGATGACAGTCACAGCTTCCCACACCAATATACCTTCTTTTACTTCAAAAATCTCCAACCTTAGCACATTTGGCCTGGTCACAGTATGCAGCCAGTTTATTTACTAGAAGTAAATTACATGATACAACATCAGAAATAACATCCTGTTTGGTGAATGAGCGTAAATAATCATCCTATAATGATTTAGATGACAGGTCATATAAAAGCTGCATATTACCATTTAAATAGCTCACTAATTAATTCAAGGTACCTATGCAGTTTTAGTATGAATATGCAAGAATTACAGAACATATTTTACCTAGACAATGACATGGTTTTTATTTCCTGCTGTAAACCCACAGTCAGAGATCAACTTGAAAAAATATTGGGACCACGGGACTATAAAAAGACAAGAGAAACAGCTTTAACAACACCAAATAAAAAGTAACTTATAAAGTCATCACTGCCCAGAGATACACGTGTTAGGGTGATTTTCTGAAAGCCTCATGTTTGGTCAAGTAGATTTATTGGCAAACACTGTAATGAGACATAATTTGTTTGATACTTGAATACAAAAGCCAGACGTTGTCCGTTTGAAACTTTTATAATGTATTTTCCTATTATAAATGAAGATTTTAAAAACAGCAATTTTTAAAAGCAGCTCAAAATAAATGGTCATACAGGGGGGGTGTAGAATCTTTGTGAAAATATTTGGTTCTAAGTCTTAGTGAAAGGGACTATTCCCTGGAAAACCAATTCTAGTACCCTATTTTCCAAATGAAGAAGCATGTCAGGTCCTTATAAATCACCCACACTCAAAGAAAAACACTGGATTTTCATTATCAGCAAACATTCCACCAGTGGTGCCATTGTCACAATGAAATACTCCCCAACTCCTCCATGTCCCTACAGCAGGTATCCAGAGTGGGGGAAAAAAGTGTCCATCACTTGATTCCAGCAAGTTAGAAGGTTCCAGTGGTTGCAAGAGTAAGTGGAAAATCCGGGCGTCTTTTTCCCTTCTCTGAACCTACTTCTGTGAATTTTCCAAGGGAAACATATCCTTAAAAGAGCCCCATGTTTCCATTTTAGTGAATTGGTGATTTTCAGTCTTCTGGAGTGTATCCAGGCCAAAGAAGTCTTTAACAGCCCTTCCTACTCAATTACATTTTTAAAGGACTCATTAACATCATGTAAATCTGATCATCTGAAAGAAGTAACACCAGCTAATATCACAGGAGAAGGAACCTCCCTGTGTACCAATCGTTTCATCAGCTCTCATCCCAGCTTTGTGGACAAACATTTATTCCAGGAAAGACATGTGCATGAGGCACCAAATAGCTGTTCTGGCTGCCTGTACACAACACAAGGGCACCTTGACCCAACCATGACCCCTGTTCAAACCACACAGGCTGGCAAGGAATGCCACATAATACCAAGAGCCTGGACAGCCTTTCAAAAAGGATGAAAAAATAAAATCTGAAATCCGACTTAACAGAAAACTAAGTATGTCACGCAACTCTGCCACAGCATCAGATTACAGTGGAGTGAGATTAAGTGACCTTTCAATTCTGTGTCAAGGTTACTGCAAAGCCTCTATTTCAGGGACTATTTTCAGCAATCACATGATCCACAATCCTCCAAATGCATGGAGAGCATTTTTAATTTTTTTAGGCATCATACTTAAGATCACAGGACATTGTTACCCTATCTATGAAATATATTCCAGTAGCCATTTCAAATAAAATGAACTAAAACAAATGATACACAAATGATTGCAAAATAAAGCTTTTATAAAATACCACAGACAAGGATAAAAGAAGCCATAGGCTGTATGTCACAGCTTATCCAGTGATGTGCCAATTCACACTATCCTCCATCCCTTACACAACCAGACAAAGGAGGCATTTCTAGTTCCTATAGGACCCAGTGGGAATAGGGGACCCTTAGTATTACTCTGAAATATCCTGGAGTAAATCAGTTAGTGATCATCTCTCTTCAAATGTTTTTTTAATAACCAGTTTTTTTTTTTTAAAAAACTCCATTTTGAGTGATTACACAGAAGTAATTTTAAGCTGATTCAGTTACACAATTTCCACTAAATTTATGCAAACGTGAGTAATAAAGGAAGACTAAAATCTCCAAGATATAGTGGAATGGTTCAGCTCACACAAAATAGACCTAGAACTATTTTCTTTCCTTTTCCATTCTAGAAGGCCCAATTAAGTTTTTGTCTACCTTGTTGGGGATGTTTTTGTCACCATATTACTATAAGTTCACAGAGCAACCACAGTGACATAAGAAGTTAATACATACATCCACACCTGATGCAAACTGGAGGCCAAAATTCTAACTACTCTGTTGATGCCAGAGAGGAGACACGGGTTTGGAAAACAACAAGAAGATGCTTCCCGAAACTCAGGTCTTGAATGGTGAAATATCTTAGTGCTCTCATGGCTCATCAAATAATTATGGCTTGATCAGAATATTTCTTTTTGAGATTTCACCTATGATGGCTTAGTTTTACAAAAGACATTCAAATTTTGTAATTCTTTTATAGATTTCAGGGATGATGGAATGAGAAAGAGTCAGCTTAAGAACTCAATCCCCTTCTGGCTTTTGCAGACTACCGCGGAGAAAGTCAGGGCTGTGGGGGACCAGCCTGGACAAGGCAGTGTGCTGGGCCTGCTCCATCCCTGACAGTGTCTTGACCCCTGTCAACTGCTCCATATGAACATGGGTGAGGGCAAGGGTGGGTCCTCACTGTCATAGCCACTTTCCAAACCATGCAAGGGTTCATATAAGGAATTTCTAAGAATTCCTGTAACACTGGGGCACCCTAAGCCCTTTATGAAATGGGTGCCCAACTCATGGTCTGGCTCCTTTACCTCCATGAGGTTCTGGAGTCTGGTCCCATCTTTGAGAACAGCTGAAGTAGACCACGCCCATGTGTCTCAGCCTCACAGCAGAGACTGGGGGCAAGCTGACACCAGACAGTTCTACACAAGCACTGCCGTTGCTGGCTGCAGATCCTGAACTATTTCTCTTCTGCCTGTGGGCATATTGTGTTGTTGGATATGACAGGTGAGGGTGAGAATAAAATGGGAATCTTTCCACTACCTATGCAGTGCCTGGCATATAAACGAGTACGCAGTGAAGAGGTGCCGTTATCTCTGCTGTTACTATTGCTATGACTGAGATATGAGAAAATTCTTAAATACATCCCAGATGCAAATGTCTAAGAGAAGACACCATGCTCTACCCACTCCATTCTTGCCTTCGACCAAGCTTGAGAACATCTTGCACCCTCACAATTTCCAAAAGTACGTACACAGCTTTTATGGGCTTCCTCTTTGCCCTCCACTTTAACTGCTGGCAGGAGGGCTATGAACTAAGTGAACATAGCCACAGGATAAAGCCCCTGACCAGAGGACTAGGGCTGTAGCTCAGTGGTAGAGGGCTTGCCTAGTGTACATGAGGCCCTGGATTCTAGCCAGAGGCAGGACTGTGTATCTCTAACCAGATGCAAGACTGTCTCATCAGTTCCCTTGTATCCACATCATCCTTCTGCCTGTCCTGCCCCCCAGGCAGACCACTTCCAGACACCCATCCCTTATTCACTGCAACCCCCTGAGTGCCATCATTTTATCGCCGGCTTCTAATCCAGTTCATTCCAAGTAGGTCATAGAAGAACGACACAATGCTTTGTTCAGTTTCAAGCCACGTACCATTCATTCTACCTTGAGCCCTTTTTCTGTTTCCCACATGTGCATGAGCAAAGTGCACTGTATAGGGGACAAAGACCACAAGGGAATGGGAACGCCAATCCTCCTCCACAGAATTCAGTCTACACTCAACAGTAAACACAGACACAATCTAGCATCTCTAGATTCTGGAAAAGAACAGTCATGATGTGGAGAATAGGAAGATTCAGACAAATGTACATGTACCTAATAGCGGAAAACCTTATTTCAAATTTACACGGAAACATCTTATTTCCTAATTCACACCTGTGATAGTCCAAACTTAAATGAGATATACTTAAACAGAAAATTCTGAACATATCCCATGTAACATACACAGGCTGTCTTTGTCCACCTACAGATTCATCCACAGCATCAACTGTCACGAGGCCAGCCACAGCCAGGAAAACAAGCATAGTGCTAAGTCCAGAGAGACCATCCAAGGAGACATGTATTTCCTCTTCCTTACTCACTCCCTAGATATATGGTCAGATACCAACAAAGACCAATGTGCCTTGTATGACTGCCAATCAAAACCCTTCATGGACTCTTTATTCTACAACTAAAGAAGTTATTTTTTTTTGAAAGGCGAATCAGCGAAGTTAGTTAAATGATAAAATATACAAGAAATGAAAAAAGGTAAAACCCACCTACATGTGGATCTTTTGCCTAAGTAACCAAACTTAAGATTAATGGGAGGTGATTAATTCTGGGGGAAAAAAGGCTCCATGATAGGAAAACACAAAAACTGTTATCGCTAAAATGATCCTGAAATAAATAGTTTTCCATGTGTAACTCCTAAGTATAAGAGAAACACCAATAATAGAATAGACAATAAAAAACTGTGTTTCAGTGTCTCCATTACTTTTTAGCACCTTCATAAAATTTTATTAATAGTACCTTAAATGTAAATAGGAAGAAAGAAACTGCCAGAAGGATGAGGACTTAGATAAAAATACATATCATTTGACAGAAGTAATGAAAACTCTAGTACCAAATGTCTCCTGTCTCTAAAATGCTGGCTTGCTTCTAGAACCATGAAAAATGATAAAGTTTTACCTTCCAGATTGAGTCTCAACTGCTCACTATATTTTAAGAAAGTAAGCTCACTTTTCAATGGCATTGGAAAAGGAGTAGATGGAATTTGGAGAAGAGATAGCATTGCTGGAAAGAAGCTCTCTGCCACAGTTCAACATCCAAGCGTGTGTCACCAAGCACTTACAATGAGTTCAGAATCACGCCCCATGGAAATGACAGTCCGGTTCACTGTCCTCAGAAGTTTCTCCATGATTATCTGGACATGCCTCTGAGTCGGCCCCTGGAGGAAGAGACACCAGTAAAAACCAACACCAAAGACAATCATTGACATGCAAGCCCCAGTGGCTGTCACTGGATTCATTTACCCTGTAAAGAATAAATCAATTACAACCCTTAACGAGATGAAAAATGGTCCTTGTCAAAGGCAAAGCCTTCACAAAGAAAACTCAAGGCATTTCATTAATTATAGTCCATTAATGATAATTTGTTATATAATCATAGTAATTTAATTTAAGCAAACCTTAAAACTAAAAGCAAATCCATTTAAACAACATAATGTTTATGATCCCTGATTAGGCCACCAATTAGTTTGCTAAAGACACTCAGCCATCTGTAAGTGGAAGACAGGCAAGATAATACCCTCGACTGCTCTGTGTGTCAGATCCTGATAACAGTCACACAGAACTGAATGTCTAAGAGTCAGTTTAGTAAATTATCTAAAATTCATACCACGGTGGCGTTTTCTATTGGTAAGAACTCACTCTTTTATTTAGTGTGCGATGGGATGGTTGGTTCTTCTCCATGAGTGGACATGCTCCTGAGTGGACATACTCTGGGACACTTACTGGCAAGGTCACTACCTACTCCCTGGCATTTGCCCCAGGACCTCCTTGCACAGCCTTTTCTCCAATAAGAAAAGGACTTGGAGTGGGACCAAAGGAGCTGGCTCAGATGAAGCTTCCAAAACTTTTCCAAATGTCCTGCAGAGGTGAAGCCACCCCATCAGTGCCCATGGATTGAACCTGATGCTTTTCAGTCAAGAGCACTAACCAGAGAGTGCTCTTGGAGATGCTGGGCCAGTGCTGGGGGGGAAGGTTGGTAGGGGTGGGACTAGGTGTGTGTGTACCAGGAAGATGTCCAGTTCATGCAGGAGAGCACTCAGGATGGCCCTGCCAAGTTAAAATCTTGTGCAGGGTTAGGGCACAGACAGGCATAGCTCTGTTAAAACCATTCCAAACACACCCTGAGAATCAACAGTGTCACATATGGGTGAACACATATGCACAAATATACATAGTATGGTGGGAATGGGAACCATACGGTGAGACTTTCCCATGTGTGCTTGGCTGACTTCTGATTTAAGCAGAAAAGGTCAGTGGAGGAAGCATATGGTTTAGAAATACGAGAGGAAATTCCAGAGCTGAGAAAGTGTTGGAGGCGTTACCTGTGGGGTGAGATGCAGAGAAAGAGCTGCTCTTTCATGAGAACTCTCAAAAGCAGCAGTGGCTTATATTAAAAAAACAAAACAAAAACCTGTGTGCATGTATTACTTTAATAAAAATTAAAGTTGCAAGAAAGAATGCAGGCAATTAGCCAAATTTTTAGCATGAAAGCCTTTTATCTGACCTTCAGGATTAAAATCTAGGCCTTGGGAGGCACACACTGAGAAGATGCAGGAAATAAAGAACTAATTTCCTTGCAGAAGTATAAACATTGCAATGTAATAATCATGATACACACATAAATAAAAATAATTTAAGGGTACAACTCAACAGAGAGAAAGGGAGAGGCTAAGCTTGAAAATTAAGGCCATTACTTTTTTAAGTAAATCAGGTATAAGTTTGTAGCACACAGCCAAGGCTTAGGCATACGGCAGGCGAGGCTGCCTGCACAGTCCTGGAGACAGCGGGGCAGCCACCATTACTCACCACATCCTTCCTGTACAGAACCTCCAGGACATTGCTGAGCAGCTGGCAGCAGGCCTCCAGGTCCTCCTGTCTCTCCAGATGGTACTTGAGCTGGTCAGTCATCATGGGAAGCAGGATCTCTCTGCAGTCTATATGGAACACAGGGTTGCCAGTCAGTGGGGAGCCAGCAAGGTGTGACTCCTATCTGCTAGAGGCTTCTATGCCCTTTCAAGTACTCTGCATTCACAGTCTGCAGCATGGAAACTGGCAAATGCAGGGCCAATTAATTAACCATGACGATATTGTTTCTATGGCTGTCAGTAATTTATACACACATACATGCACACTTCCATCTTTATGTGCTCTGCCATTTAAATACAAAATAATTCACAAACCTAAAGGATATACACAAACACTCATACACATATACCCCACAGTTTGCACATAAATTCAAACAGAAGCACACAGGTTGGGTTTCTTACTTATTTCCTCTTACTATAAATTCATTGATCTGCAATGTTGAAAGCCAAACTTCTTATAACAAAAACTATCCAGTTGTTCCTAGAAGAACCCAGGCATGATCTCCTTCTTCTACATGGAAAAGGCCAGGTCCAGGATATGACAGAGGCACAAAGCCCTTCCCAGGGTAGCTTCCTGGAGTAGACTAAAGAGGGATGAGAAAAATAGAAGCCAGGGGCACTGATGCCACTCTGGGAAACATGACTGTGAAATGAAGGAACACTGTGGGTAAAGATCAGGTCAAAGAAGGTGTGGGTTTTCATTTGTTCTTTAGATAGGAATACAGAAATGACTTTCAGAAAATAAAGGAGCAATAAGGAAACAGAGCAAACAAGATTAAAGATGAAATGAAATTCCTAATTGGCTCTTCTAGTGGCAAAACCCACTTTCCAACATGGCCTATCTGTTTACAACACCAGTCCTGTATTTTAACACAAGCCCAGCCATTACAGCTTCCTTTCAGATGCAAAGTGTGAGAGAGGCAGCAGTGCTCTGCAACATTAAATAGCTGCAGTTGGTTTTTAGGATTGTACATTTTAGGATTTACAACATTAATGATACATAAAAAACATGTTTTGCATTAATATTTCCCAAACGTTTTATGTAAGGAAAAAAATGTAATATTGGAATGGTTCCCACTAAGCATTCAGAAACACAAGTAGAATCTTCTCAAGGACAATGCTGTAATGAAAAACTGGGGGAGGCAGACAAAGGGGTACAGGCAGGGAGAAAGATTCAGAAATAACACAAACCTTTCTGATCCACAGTCTCCCTGTGGACCACACATGGGCAGCTACTACCAAGGCCTTTGCAAATCCTATTTGGATATATTCCCTAGAAAAAGACTAATCACAACTCCATTTATCCAGATGGAGTTTTGTCCAACGAATATATGAATACACATATTCACTGTTGACTTCACAACTGCAATCATCAATCCACGGGCGCAAGTAATGCTGGGGATGCTAAGAACTACACATCTTTTGGGAAGACGCCAGGCCAGCCTTGCTGGTGAGGATGTCTGGAGATGTCTGGAATCCTAGGGTCAGGGATGGAAGGCCCAGCACATAGTGATGGGTTGCTTTATGGGTTTCTTGTGTCAGTGAGGCCTACTACCAATTCCACTATCTGCTCATCTAACCCTTCCTGTGACACAGGTGACCTGAGATCCTACAAGAGAGGATCCTACAAGACAATACCTATTACCTGTGAGCATGATAGGTAAGCTTAGTGAGGGTGTTCTCTGAAGCCAGCTTAGGATGGACCCAAAAGGGTAGAGGGTCTAGAGCACTGGTCAATACAGTATGGGAGGAAAGGTATGTCCATGAGTGATTCTAAAAAAAAATTCAAACACTGGTACCCAGATCCTGGCCTAAATCCATCCCTTATGGCCCAATTTATCTGTCCTGCTGGGCAGGCAGTTGTGGACTGCACTCTTCTCTGAGCTAATTGAGTGTTGGTCTCATTTGTCAGAATTACTCCAGAGTGGAGGAGGAGAGGCCAGCTTGCTTGCCTTTGGCAGGGGGGTGCCATCCACCATCTTTGGCTCCCAGACAAGAACACCCACCATCCACCCAGCTCCCAGCTCTGTCCTAGCTTCACATATTTGTTATCCAGCCTCTCTTGATAAGAAACAAAAAAAACTTTTATAAACTTCACTGTCATTTTGTCGCATTTAAAGATGTTTCATTCACTAAGCTCCCAGAGAAGAAAAAAGCCATTTGTTAGAACCCTTCTGATGGAACAATATCCAACTGTATTAGGAAAATTGCAGTAAGTATACTTTAACTATGGAGGTGAGATAATGCTTGAGAAGGAAGCATGCAGAAAGAGAAGATGTCTAATTCCCACTGATACTGAATTGCTGTTTCTCGAGTTCGTGTCCTGACGTAGTCAACAATTGAAGACACAGGACCAGGAGTTAACAGTTAAAAGCAAGCACAAAAGTCACTGAAAGGACAGCAAAGCACCCTGATGAGTCAGACTTAGTGAAAGAGCTAAGGCAAAGAAAGCCTGAAGTCTAGGAGATGATACAGGGTGTTAACTGGCTTAGGTCCAACTATTCTACCTGGAAGCTGTATCTATAATTGGCTGTCTAATTAACTTCTTGCCGGACCCAACAATCTGGTTGTCCCCCCCACCCCCACAATCCCTATTGGACAGGACATTCCAGGAGGGTCTGGTCAGTGCGTCTGCCCTTGAGGCCCACTACCCACCTTGTGCATCTTGTTGTTCTGATGGGAGGCTTGTTATTTCTCTGAGAAGCCCGTTGTTTCCCGCGCTTCTTTAGATGTCTGCTTTTAAAGTGCCTCTTTCATCCAAAATGGAGTCACTTTTGTCATTACTCCCCAGACACCACCAGTAAGAAACAGCCTCATGCCTACCACCATCATTGTCATACAATTCCCACTGGACAGAGTTCCTTTATGGGTGTAGTTCTGACCCCAGGCAGAACTACACCCATAAAGGTAAGCAGCCCAGGCAATCCTGAAGGCCAAAGGGCACGCGGCCCGCATCAAACTACTAAAGACAAAGCATCAATTTCAATATTGTCTGACACTGGGTCCTCAGAAACCATCACAGATCCCCAAAGGGAGAAAAGCAACTCCCCAATAACCTTTGTAAAGGTTGGGAGGACCAAAGCCAGAGGCACTTGAGATGACCTATTCACCTTTCAGTAATACAATACTCTGTAGGTCCCCACACACAGACCTAGGTATAGACAGGACCCCTAAGTCCAGCTCATGGATGATGTTAGATACTGACTGCTTTAACAGTTAACTTTTTTATTAGATACATTAATCATACTAAATAAGAGGCTTCATTATAATGTTCCCATATATGTATACAAATGAATATTATATGACCATATTCACCCCCTCTATTTCTGTCTTTATTGAACTATAACATCTACAAGAGCAGATTCTGTATTCTCTTTAGTAGAAATGATTTCAGCACACAAACCAACACCGGACAGCGAGTGTGTGTGTGTGTGTGTGTGTGTGTGTTCATATGCTCAATGTGGAGAAAAGCTTTCTCTTCCTTGGAGAACAGTTGGTTAATATTCACTTTCTCCCACATTCACTTTATCGGCAAAGCTCAGTGATCACACATGCTAAATGATGAGAAGGGCCCTGTGGTCTGCAGCAGCACAGCTCCATCCTTAGCGAACATCTGAAGGACAAACACTGTAACAAAAGCTCTCCGTGTACTGGGGGGAATCTACACTTACTGGACAGGTTCCAAGCCAATCTAGACAACAGCAAATAGGTACAAATGCACACACACACGTGTGTGTGTGTGTGTGTGTGTGTGTGTGTGTGTGTTGATGTAATTTTCAATTGGATGCACATGGTACCAAATTAAAGCACATGCAGTTAAAAACAGGTCTATTGCCCAAACCTGTCCCTAGCACTCAAAAACTGATAGCTATTAAAAACAGTAATACAAACAACGGTGTTACACTTCCAACCGAAATTACACAAAGAAAACTAATGCCTTAGGGCAGCTATAGTCCACACAGTAGCTACTCAATTGCCTCCCCCAAGGGACAAACCAACAAAAGTATCTCAAAACCTCATTTTTAAGGAGCTGCTCTTCTGTATGTCATTATACAGAATACTAAGGTTTTTTTTTTCAAGAAGTGGTGGGGTACAAGGTTTAAATAACAGGACATTCAAAATTTTGTCTTAAGTCAAGATGGCAAATCAAGAGTACCGAGACAGGTACATCACATGGACAGATGCACAGGCAAACATCTGCAGTGATGCATTTTAGAGCAGGAGAAGCTGCCAAGGGACAGGAATCTACTGTCACACTGTGGATATCCCAAGCCAGCATCCTAAATGCCCTTCCCCATGGACAGAATGTCATTTCTCTATGGTGATTAGCAATGAGCCTCCCATTAGCTCCCAAACAGATGGCCAATAGAAAAAGCGGGGTGGGGGGGGTGGGGGGTGGGAAGGCCTATATTTTAAAAGGAAATATTTTTAATAAACTACCCACACAAAACCTTTTTAAAAACTCTGGAACAAATATTTGACGACAAGTCAAGTAGCCTGGTTCACACAATGAGATTTTTTTTCCATATGCAGATATAATAAAATCCCCTGGCCATTCCTGGCTATAGATCTTGGGCAAGTTACTTAAAGTCTCCAGGTCATAATTTTCCTTCTCATCTGCAAAATGAAACTGCAGTTGGTTTACCTCTCAAATTTACTCTGCAAACTAAGTGATACAATGTGTGTTCTCAGCAAACAATGAGTGTACGGTAAGTGGTAATTGTTAAAAACAATAGAAATAATAGTATGATACAAAGTCATTTCAATTAAAAGTACTTCACAACTGCCCTATCAAATGTGGTTGTCATCGAAACATGAAATTCAGCTGGTGTCACTGACGAATGGAATTTTCAATCTGATTTTACTTGAACTAGTAGATGATAAATGCAAAAGTAAAAGGTGATATTTAATTTAGTTATTAGGAACAACTCTTTGGGGCAAATTAAGTATGTGGATGGAGTTTTTAATGGAGAACCATATCAAATGACAAAAATAAAGTCTCTGATGAAAATTCAGCATTCAAATTCAGATGTGCTATAAAGGTAAAAGACACACTGGATTTCATATAC